ATTATGGAACTATAATTTAAAAAAATTTGGTACTGGCACAAAAATAAGCCTGAGGATCAATGGAATAGACTAGAAAACCCAGAAATAAAACCATATACTGGTAATCTGAATTTGACAAGGGATCCAAAAATATGTGGTGTGAAAAAGATGGCCTCTTCAACAAGTGATGTTGGGAAAACTGAACATGCATAGATACAAGACTAAAATTGGATCCCTGGTTGTAAACATGCACCAGTATCAGCACAAAGATGATCAAAGACCTCAACATCAGACCTGAAACACTGAAACTGTTGCACATTAGAACTTATAGGCCTCGGCAGAAACTTTCTGAAAAGAGTCCTGGGGCACATCAAATAGGAGAGAGACACAACAAACGGGATTACACCAAAATAAAAAAAAAAGGGTTCTGCACAGCAAAGGACATAGTTACTAAACTAGAAAGACAGCCAATAGACTGGGAGAAGATCTTTACTAGCAATACATCCGACAAAGGCCTAATGTCTAAAATATACAAGGAACACAAAAAACTAACCCCTTCCAAAACTAACGAACCAATCAACAAATGGTCAATAGAGCTAAAAAGAGACTTCTCAGAAGATGAATTAAGAGTGCCAAAGAAAAACATGAGGAAATACTCCACATCCTTGGTCTTAAAGGAAATGCAAATCAAAATAACTCTGAGATTCCATCTCACCCCTGTTAGATTGGCCAGCATCAAGAATTCAAACAACAAATGCTGGCAGGGATGTGGAAGAAAAGGAATTCTATTGCACCGTTGGTGGGAAGGTAAACTAGTGCAATCATTCTGGCAGGCTGTCTGGAGGTTCCTCAAGAAACACAGGACTTCTCTATGACCTAGCCGTACCACTGGTGGGCATCTACCCAGAATGGTACCAATCAGGATATGGTGAAGACATTTGCACATCCATGTACAGTGCTGCACTATTCACAATAGCCCATTTATGGAAATGGCCCAGATGCCTTACAGTAGATCAGTGGGTCCAAAAAATGTGACACAAATACACAATGGAATTTTACTCATCCATTAGAAAGTATACGATTATGTTATTTGCAGGGAAATGGATGGACCTAGAATAAATAAGGTTAAGTGAGGTAAGCCAAGCTCAAAGATATGAAGGGCACATGTGTTTGCTCATGTGTGGAAGCTAGATCTAAAATATAACTGGACATGATGATTTAACCATGACTCAGGTGTTCACACACAGCCACACCAGTGGGGAATACCAGGAGGGGAGGAACTCAAAGGTGTAACTCTCCTGAACATGTGAAATACTATTTATTGAGATGAATCCCAGAAAATGGAAACATGGGTCAATTATGTTGTTTTTTGGGGGGGGGTGTGTTTTCAAATTTTTGATCATTTGGTTTTCCTTTCCCTTTTCCTTTGTCTGCTTCTTGGGGGCCGTGGGGGGCAAAAATGGGAGAGAGGAAGAGAGAACAAATACAATCATGGTATTTACTATACTCTATGTGGAAACTGAATTATGCAATTTGTAGGCTAGGGCAAGAGGGGGAGACGGGAAAAGCAAAGGAAGGGAATGACATTGTTCAGATGAGAAATGTATGCATTATCTGAATTGTGAAATGGTTACCCCTCTGTAATAATAACAATACAATTATCTATATACATATATAGCAATTAAAAGAATATAATCTGAGCCAGGTCCTGTGACTCACGCCTGTATCCAAGCTATTCAGGAGGCTAAGATCAGATCCAGACGAAAGCCACCCAAGGCAGAAAAGCCTGAGACTCCATCTCCAAAACAAGCACTACAGAGCAGGGCTAGAGGTGTGGCTCAAGTGACAGAGTGCCACATGTGAGCAAGCCAGCCAAGGGAGCATGAGGCCATGAGCTCAAAGCCCAATACAGACCATAAACAAATAAATGCAAAGAAGGCAATCTGTAGGACTTTCCACTAACCCCATGACTTGAACTAAAATGGCTTCAACTCCACTTCTAGAATCCCTAGGCAGCATGTAGGATGTAGCTTGGAGAGAATGATGCTGAGGAGGAATTTTGGGAATTCTTCATATAAAAAGCATCCGATTCCATCTCTAGGAAGGATGGAGACTGCTAACAGCATGTGTAACCACAGCAGGCTGCCAAGAGGGCCTCAGATACATTTATGGTTTCAGACAGGAAAACACAAACAGTGCTTCGGAGTCTTCATGAGTGCTGCCATGGTCTAAGCACACTTGCACGAAGGTTAAAATGCTCTGTTGGACTGGCGTGTCAGCAAGCATACCCTCAAAACACAGCTACACCAGGCCAGGCTGTGGTCGTTGGTGTCAATGAGCTATCTGTGTTCCTAAACCTCAAGCAGGAATGATGCTGAGTATTAGCATCTGAGTGAGACCTTGCACAAGCATATGTGTGTTTGAGTGTGTGTGTGTGTGTGAGCATTTGTATACATTGGAGGCACATACCCCAATCTGTGGACACCTCCCCGCCAAAGCTCGGTGGCTTTGGATATTGTGATGGAGTAGCCCCTTTCTCAAAGACTCCATGTCAGGTAGGTGGAATAGACATGCTTTGAAGCCTGAGCACGCTCAAAAACAACCAGTCCATTCAGGTTGGGCGCTGGTGGCTCACACCTGTAATCCTAGCTACTTAGGAGGCTGAGATCTGAAAATCAGGATTCAAAGCTAGCCAGGACAGAAAATTCTATGAGACTCAGCTCCAATTATCCAGCAAAAAGCCAGAAGTAGGGGTGTAGGTCAAGCAATAGAACAGAGCTCTAGCCTGGAGAGAAAAAGCCAGCAAGAGCACAAAACAGTCTTAAGTTCAAGCCCTAGTTCTTACACACTGACACGGATACACACTCACACATACATATACCCCAACAACAAACAACGAGTTTAGCCTCTGCAACTGGTACTCAAATACATAAGTTCCACGAGTAGCTGTCATTTGTCCACATGCACTGTACTAGAAAATTAAGATTGGCAACTCTTAAAAAAAAGTTATCAAGGCTCCCCTGGCTGCTTTCTTTGAATGGCATGGCGGACTCCCCTTACTCTAGACCTTAGCACATATGGTTAATCTAAGGCCATGAGAATTAGAGTTAGCTTGTACTATTTGCTTAAGAAAATCCCTTACAGACTCATCGTCAATTTGCAAAGCCTCTTCTGCACCAATCCAATCATGATTTGGGGGAATTTCTTCTGCTCTTATTCCTCTATCTACAATGAATGTTTGAGCTGTAGCTGTAGTTAGCGCTGAAGTTCCTCTGGTGAAAACTGGTATACATTCAAATTATTTCACGCCACGTAAAGACAGGGAGATGTATCACCAGGGTGGCACACAGCATGGGTTGTGTATTTTTGGAATCTTAGTCAATAAGGAAGATCAAATGCTTCGCTTAGGCAGTTTCTTGAAATACGGATGTGGGGTTTATCTTGGGAACATGGTTGGCCACTTACATTTGCCTTCTTGCAGTAGTCTGTTAAGACTCAGCCTAATCAATCTTAAAGCCATATCAAAATTGCTTTTAAAATCTCTGAGCATTTAATATATCTACACTTGTTAAAATTAATTACATCATTTAACGTTTCTATGCACATTATAGTTTTAAATGTTTTACAGTTATTTTTATTAATTAATAAAGCTTTAATGGACAAAAATTGCACAGTAAGGTTATTATGCATATGCTGCATTTTCCACTTTATTACTATTATCTTTAAATATTTTCCTCAAGTGGAACGTCACTAATTCATAAACCAATCTTTCTTAAAGAAAATGAGGCAGAAAAATAGGAAGTTTAAATAGATAAAAGGGAAAAGAAAACCATGAGGCTGGAGTGGGCAGTGCATGCCTGTAATCTAAGCTACTCAGGGGCTAAAATCAGGAGGGTTGAGTTCAAATCCAGCCTGGGAATTTATGTGTGACTCTCTTCTCAACCAATAGTTGCACAAGTGGGTACATCATGCCTCTCATCCTAACTGCACTGGAGGTTCAAAGTTCCAGGGCAAACTGGGCAGACTCTTCAAGACTGCATCTCAGTAGGAAGAAGCTAGGTGTGTATCTGTCACTCCAGCTATAATGTGAAGCCTAAAATGGATTAACTTGAATCTACATACTCATCCAAGCAGGGAGTGAGACCCTGTTAAAAAACAGGCTGGAGGCATGGCTCCGTGGTAGAGTGTTTGCTTAGCAAGCATGAGGCCCTGAGGTCAATAGCATCAAAACAAAATAGAAGATGATGCAGCTGTTCTTCTCCAAAATAGAACTCTCCCTCCCCTGACTTCTCAAGAAAAGGCAAAGGGTCTCAGGACAGCCCAGCATGGGAATCCTGTCAGGTTTCATGGATGGCAAGAACAGCAACGAGAACCAGCCAAGTGGTCCCAGAAGACAAAACTCAAAGCAGGGATTGCTCTTGCTGCTGGCTGGCGAAGCTTCCTCATTTAGAAAATGCCCAGCATTAGTGGCTTGCACCTGTGATCCCAGGAGGCAGCAAAGTCTGAGAGACTCATCTCCAATTAACCACCAAAAGGCTGGAAGCAGAGCTGTGGCTCAAGTGGGATAGATCCCAGGCCCTGAGTTCAAGGCCCAGAAGTGGGGGGGGGGGGGGGGGAGGGATGAGAAGAAAAAGAAAATACAAGCTATTACTCAACACCACGTCTGTGAAAGCGATGTGTGAACAGTATTCGAGCTATTGAGTAGTCAAAACTGCAGAAGTCTGGAGGGTCTCACACATGCAGGTGTTTGACAGCCAAAGAGCCAACACACCTGGGCTTGGCTGAGCCTTTCGCTTTTCCTTCTCACCCTAGGGATGGGAGCATGAGGTGGAACCACCGCGGTCTATTTCTGGCCACTGTTAGAAGTCAGAATTGGAGGCTAGGCCTCTCACAGCCTGGGAGGAAACGGTGCCACCTGACATCAACACCCCGCCATGGGTTTCCACCTGGGAGGAGGAGGAGGAGGAGGAGAGATGAAAGCACCACCGGGGCCCGGCCGGCCCCTGCCGCAATCCACTCACCTGCCCTGCAGCTCCAGCCGGGAATGCAGATGGACAGCTGGCCGCCAGGCCCGCCGGCGTGCTCTCCTCTCCTCTTCTTGACGGCCAGCTGCGGAGTGCCCGCGTCGGCGAACCCCCCGGTGCCCAGGCACACCCGCTCCGGGCCCGGCTTCTCCGTTGGCCGGCCGTCGGGCGGCGGCGCGGGACCCCAGGGCGGAAGCCAGGCTGGGCCGGGGAGGTGCAGGGGTGGCCGGCCGGGCCCGGGCTCCAGGCCTCCGCCCCTTGGCTCTCCGTTCGCCGTGCCGTCGACTCCATCTGCCGTCGGCCTGTGGGAACTGCAGTCGAGGCTGAGCGACAGCACGGACCGGTGCGTCCCGGCGCGGGGCCCCGGGGCCGGCTCCGCGGGCACCCACAGGGTCTTGTCCAGGTAGTAGATGGCCCGGGGGCACGGCCGGGACACGCGCAGGTGGACACAGGAGCTGAACACCAGCGGTGCCTGGCCCGACGGGGAGCCGCCCCCCGGGTCCTCCCCGTGGGCGCCCGGGCCCCCGCGGCCCGCGCTCAGCCTGGCGTGCGCCTCGGGGCTCCCGGGCCTCCCCGGGGGGCCGTTCCGGGGGAAGTCTGCGCAGGGGAAGGGTCCACGCGGCCGCCGCGGGTGGGGGCCGCCGGCCAGGCCCGGGGGACACCGGCGCGCGGCCTCCTCGGCCTGGCATCGGGGGCACAGCGCGTCCCCGCCCGCCTCCCACGCGGGGCCGCCGGCCGCGGGGCGCACGCGCCGCGCGGTGATGGTGATGGACGCGAAGCCTTTGCACGGGCCGGCCGGGCCCGCCGCGGGCTCCGCTGGCGCCGGGGGGCCTGGGTCCTCGGGGGGCGCCGGGAGCCTCCGTCGGTCCGGAAACACGGCGAAGGCCCTGCGGAAGGCGGGCCCCGCCGGGCAGGCCCGAGGCTGCGCCAGCGCGCACGGCAGGGGCAGCGGCCGCCCCGAGTCCCGGGGGTCGTTCTCCTCGATCAGCCGCGAAAGGACCACGGAGGAAAGCGCCTGTGGGTGTGGTGATGCCAGCGTCTCCTGGAAAACGGAAACAGAGCGCGGTGAGTCCCGCGGCGGGCGCTCCACGAACCCTCGAGGGCCGGCTGCACGGCCTCCTGGACGGATAGCACACCAGATCCGTGTAGCAAAGATAACAATAACAACAACACCTGTCTAGTGTGAGCTTATGTAACCATGTGTTCTGTGAGTGGCGATCATCATCCCCCACAGATTCAGAGGTCCTCAAAGACAAGGTACATCCTGAGGGGAGAAGGCAGAATCCCGGGGGGAGGGGTGACTGGCCCTGGCAGGCCTGGGTTTGGGGTTCTAGAGTGCTAGGAGCCCCCTCCTACCTGGTCCCGCTCTGGTCCTTCACTCCTGCTGATTTAGATCAACTCATCCACCTGCTCCTCTCCTCCTCCTCCCCCCCCACCCCCACTTGGCTCACTACTTACAGGAGAACTCAAGACAATGGAAGCCCGGTGCCCTGGCGGACAACTGTCTGGACACACACTGGGACAATCAGGTGATTTCACCTCCCAGGCTTGGGAAGGAGGGAGGGGGGTGTGGGCCAAGACTGATTAGGATCAGCAGTGATGTGGCGTTAGTGCATCTCCAAGCCCAGCTGCAATTTAAAATGATGAAGGCGTTTCCATCCACCATGTTAAAATGATGAAGGCATTTCATGCTGCCTAATCAGAAAACCGTAAGTCCTAACAGTAAATCACTGGTGTGTCCAAAACTGTGTGATTTGATTTTTTAATATAGCATCTAACTAGACTCTCTTTGGGTAAAACCTGTTTTTTTTAAAAAACTGTCTAGAAGGGCAACCATGTAAAAAGCACACTGGGAATGTGCAGAGTCTGGAACTCAATTTTTTTTTTTTTTTGCCAGTCCTGGGGCTTGAACTCAGGGGCTAGCACTCTACCACTGGAGCCACTATGCCACTTCCAGGTTTTTCTGAGTAGTGTATTGGAGAGAAGTGTCTCACCGACCTTTTACTGTCTAGACTGGCTTCTAACTTCAGTCCTCAGATCTCAGCCTCCTGAGTATTAGGATTTAAGACATGAGCCACCAGCACCTTGCCCTTTTTACTCAAGACTGGCAATCTACCATTTGAACCAAACTTCCCCTTCCAGGCTTGATTTTTGATGATCCGTGGAAGATAGCACTCTTATGAACTTTCCCTGCTTGGGCTGACTTAGAACTGCTGTGATCCTCAGATCTCAGCCTTTTAAGAAGGCAAAATTATAAGCTAGGTGCCCGTGGCTCACACCTGTAATCCTACCTACTCAGGAGGCTGAGATCTGAGGATTGCGGTTCAAAGCCAGCCTGGGCAGGAAAGCCTGTGAGACTCTTATCTCTAATAAACCACCAGAAAACTGGAAGTGGTGCTGTGGCTTAAGTGGTAGAGCACTTGCCTTGAGCTGAAGGGCTGAGGGACAGTGCCCTGGCCCAGAGTTCAAGCCCCACGACTGACAAAAAAAAAAAGGCAGCAGAATTATAGGCATGAGCTACCAGTGCCCTGCTGGTGCCACTATTTGATATCTATTATTGCACATATTTAAAATGAACCTTTGCATGAGAATGTACAGCATCAAGATCCATATCAACAACTCTCTAGATACAGCCCATTGCTTGCAGAGAATCTTCTCCTTGGAAGCCCCAAAGCATATCTTGGGTACCCCACAGATCCCCAACCCCAACATGCATGACATCACAGTCTCCCAGCTCAGAGATTCTGATTCTGGTGGCTGTGGGTAAGGGCCTGGGTACCTGCATTTTAACCCACATTGTGGTGATTCTAATGGAGGTGATTGAGAACCACACTTGGGCTGCTAACAGAGCCCCGAGGCTGCTGGTCATCTGAGGGACCACTTTTGGAGAGGACAGGCCTGCTTATGTTAGGACCTGCAAGACTGCTCGTCTGAAGCAATGGAGCATTTTTCTTTACTTCAAGACAGAATCAATACCCATTTGGTCAACTATTGATTGAGTGTTCTCCAGCTGGACATCGGAGCAGCACATTCACACAGCCTCGGGGCCCAGCAGGGGCCATCTTAGCAGCCCCTAGGCCTTGGATCACTTCTGCTGGATATGGGGAGCATCTCTATCACCTCATATAATGTTAGTTAGATTTTTTAAGATATAAGAGAAGGTACAAATTCAAAAGGAGGTGAGCATAGGAGAAATAGGTAAGAGAGTAATTTTAAGACCTGTTGTTGTTGTTTTAATCTCCAGCTATAGGAGAAGAACAAGGACATTTCCCCTTCTCCCTCAGTCTCACTGCTACCTCCCACTTCAAGGTCCCGCTCTGCTTCAAGGTCACAGGCTGTGGTGTCTCCAGGGCACCAGGCTGGCTGAGAGTCCTGCTGTGAGTGGTGACACTCACATTGGGGACCCTCCCCAATGCTCAGGCCTCCTCCTCAGACAATTTCGGTAGCATCCCTGGCCAGAGCTGGTGGCAGGTGTCAGTGTTTCCTAAGCTGGCTGTGTGATGCCAGCGGGCAAATGTTACTGTGCTACCCTCCCGCTTACTCACGCCTCTCCCCCAGATCACGTTTTCATGGCTCTGATTTACATGAACAAAAATGGCAGCGCACCTGGTGCCTGTGTGAAGGCCCACAGTCCCTCCCATTTTAGTTAAATTTAGTTCTGATAATAATTGTTCCTTCATTCCCTGCAAAGTGCATAATCACACTCAGTGGGAACTCCTTTGACACTTGACTTTGGAGGAAAAACACACAGACATACAGACACACACACACACACACACACACACACACACACACACACACACATGCTATCTCAGAAGCTACAACATCAGTCTTATTTTCTAGTGCAATGCTTGTCCAAGTTTAAACATGTACAAAAATGTGTGTGTGTTGATTTCTAGGTAATACCCTCCCTAGGCTTACATTGAATCAAGATCAGTGGGGAGAAAGCTCAGAGTCTGTATTTTTAATAAACTCTCAGCGCTCCTTCTGTTCAGATCTGATGGAAAGAAAGCTTAGCTTAGTAGATGGAGGCCACTGGGACCCATCCTGAGCTATAAGAGGCTATAGAACCTTAGAAAGCCTTGATCTCCAGAGTTGGAGTGCAAGGAGAAGACAGGGGTGGTGCCTATGAGAACACAGGCTTCCTGAAATCTCTGGTCCCATAAAGACCTGGGAATCAACAAGGAGATTTTGCTAGGCGTGAGTGGCTATAAGCTTGGCTTGAAGCTGGGACAGAAAAGACTCCAACACTAGCAACCTTGACTTGCCTCCGTTTGGGCTGAGTTAGGGGGCTCGGGCCAGAGCTATGGTATCGAGGGCTGCAAGACACGGACGCCATGCTGGAAGGGCACAGAGGCCCGAAGACAGGATAAGGTGTCAGTCACCATTTTATTACCTGGGACATGGCAGATGTTACTGTGATTGTGACCCTATCAAAAGAAGAGTGATGATGAACTCATTTCTGAAGCTCTGGAAGCATGTCAGACCTCAGGGGACACTGTGTGGGGACTCCGCGGACAGCCACCCAACTTCACAGGGAAATCTGGTAGCCTTCTCTTCAACTAGGGAAGGGATGGAGATCATAAAAGTACCTCCGAGTCTAAGGAATTCCAGGAATGGCTCTTCCTATGGCTCAGCAGCCATCAGTGGGTCACTGATGGCATCAAACCCACCAAAGAAGCAGTCCCGAGCTCTGTCGTGTGTCAGTAGGAGGTGCAAGGATGCGTGTGAGGTCATTTGAGCTACACAAGTGAAATGGTTCAGCATGTCTGATAACGCTGAAATGATCCTAACAAGAATATATAATGAGTGTGCTGAGATGTGAGTTCTTTTTTCGAAACATACAGACATGGTCAAACCATTTGTCTAATTGTTCATCTGACAGATGTTAATAAAGTGCCAGGCAACCAATGTTGGGGGCACTGGGCTCACTCCTGATCTCAAAGAGTTAACAGCCTAGAAGTAGCACCGACCTGGTGATTCATATACCAGGACAGAGTAACTCCCAGTGTTTAGATTCAGTTGTGACAAGAGCTCCCCTAAAATTGGGAAGAATTAAAAGGGAAACACTTTGCTCTCTGTTCTTTGAGATACATAATACTCAGGGAAATTTTACTTAAATAGTTGAGACCTATTAAATAATCAAAGATAATGTGCAACCTTTAAGAAAATCTATATTTGTTTGCTGGAGCAGTTACAACCATGTCTACAGGCTGGGTGGATTAGGCAACAACTTACTGTATCCTCGTTCTAGAAGCAGGAAGTCTGAGGTCCAGGTGTTGGTAGGCTGGCTTTGCCCCAGGCCTCTCTCCTTGTCTGTCCTCCCATGCTCTTCCCTCTGTACCTGCCTGGGTCCTAATCTCTTCCTCATCCATTCATACTGGATGGGGGCCCACTGTCATGACCTCATTTGCAGGTCATTATCTTTTGAGAAATCCTATCTTCAAATACAGTTACATTCTGAGAACTGGGGCTCAGAACCTAATCTATGAATCTGTGGGATTCAGCTCGTCACCCACTACAGCCATCATTTTTGTTATTGTTCAATGCTTCCCCTGAGCCTGGGAAAGCAAGCAGGACAATAGTAAGGGTTGTGTGATATTCCTAAACCAGCTACTACATTTAAAAGTGGGTGAATTTGAAAAGTAATTGCATCTCTTATAGCATATATCTTCCCAAATCAGGATGATGCCCCATCTGCCTTTTAGACAGAGTTAACTAAACGTGGCATTGAAAAGAGATTTCTTTCATCTAAAATAAAGTTAACAGATGTAAGATTTGACATAAAAATGAGAGGAAAATTATCTTGCATTTAAAGTAGCACACTCAAGGTTAGAGAGAGGTCAGGTGAATAGCTGGATTTGTGTCTTGCTTTGTCAGTAAACCATCCGTTTTCTGACCACCACCATTCCAACACATTTTTTTTACAATTTCTTTTTCATAGATGCTACGTTATAGATATTGATTTCTTTAAATGCTTTGAACATGATTTTGTAGAGCTGGTAAATGCACTCATAGTTTTATGGTTTTTATTGACTGTTTTTAACTTTATATTTATGCCTTAAGGCATATGACTAAGAAGCCCATCATTTCATAAATTGAAATAAGAGAGAGATGGGAGGCAGATGATCAGAGAAATCCGATCCTGAGCTCCTGTAGTGCAGATACAGCTATTCCCGGAGCAATTTATTTCTCCAAAGGATAAGCATCTAATCCGATCTGTACCTTTGAAATCTGTAGGCTTTTTTCCCTCTACAAGACAATTCTTTCCCTTTCCAATGCTGCTCTGCAACCTACAACCATGTTTTTCTGGTAGATTCTTCGGGTACGTCTCCTCTCCTCTCCTCACTCTGCAACCGTTACCTCCATGCTGGCTGCCAGCCTGCCCAACCCCACTGAGCCTTCTAGAAGCATCATCAATGCCAGGTAATCCATCAAGCCAGTGCCATTTAATCCCAGACATAAGTGCATCTTGGTTGTATGCACTCACTCTGCTCCAGAGCAATGGGGAAACACAGATTCAAGACAAATGGGAAAGTCTGAGTTCTTCTCACTCTCTATTGTGAAGCGATTATCTTTCTGTGCAGTTACTAAAGACCAGAAGATTCATGCAGAGTAACCTGAGGTACTGAAAAGCTAGCAAGAATCAATTTTTCTACAACATTTATATTGTGGTAACACACACACACACACACACACACACACAATCTTAACCATTTGAAGTGTATTTTTCAGTGACATCAAATATATTCATAATGTGGTGCACTCATAACCACCATCCATTTACAGAAATTGTTCCATCTTGTAAAATGAAAGTCAGTACCAATTAAATAAGGACATCTCCTATTCTCCCATCCCCAGGGTCCTGACAACCAGCAAGACTGGTTTTTTTAACTGATTGAGTGGGTGAGTCACAAAATGCACAACTGCATTGTATGCTCTGCAGAAATTAAAACTAAAAATTATAAATAATTTAAGGAACACGTGGAATTGCTTGTGATGGAATATTATGTGATAAAAGAGAGCTATGAAAGTTAATGTGCATTATAGCCTTTTATAAGAAAATACATGGAAAAAATAAGAAGAGAGGTGCGCATGCACACACATGTTATATATTCTTCCTTATGTATGTCTTTATTTTGCTAAGTTTGCACTTAGGGCTGTCATTTCCTTGGTGACCAGGAAAGCCTGAACTATTTTAAAGACAAGAACACTTTCATATTTCACTCCTGTTAAGTAATCACTTGGCAGAAGAGGAGGCCTCGTGTCATTGCTGTGGCTCCAATGCGTTTTGGAAGGGAAGTGATGGATCTTGTGCAGCCTCTGGAGAGATGCAGAGATTGATGGCACTTACACAGGCGCTGCATCTGCTGGCGAGTTTCATCATCTTACAGCATCCTTAGAACTCACAGAGGGACAACGCTTTAAGCTCAAAGTTAGGAGGGAAAATTGAAAGTCATACTGCAGATCAAATTAGATGACCCAAGTGACTCCAGAATGGACGTTGAGAAAGTGTGAATGTGAAGGGATGGTCAGCTTATACACACACATACACACACTCACAATTCATATATGTGGGGTTCAACATCAAACCCAAGGCTTTGCGCATGCTAGGAAATCACTTTGACACTGACCTATGGCCCTCAGCCCTGAAAAAAAATTTGGGGGGGAGGCGTCGGTCGTGGGGCCTGAACTCTGGGCCTGGGCGCTGTCCCTCAGCTCCTCAGCTCAAGGTGAGCACTCTACCGCTTGAGACTCAGCACCACTTCCAGTTTTCAAGTGGTTTATTGGAGATAAGAGTCTCACGGACTTTTCTGCCCTGGCTGGCTGTGAACCGCGATCCTTAGATCTCAGCCTCCTGAGTAGCTAAGATTACAGGCGTGAGCCACTGGCGCCTGGCTTGAAAAAAAATTTTTTAAGAGTAGGAAGCCACAAGACATGGTGACTCAAACTTATAAACCACTTGGAGGGTAGAGACTGGAGGATAGGGGCTTGAGGTCAGTCTGGGGGGGAAAAAAGGAACTTCAAGAGACTCCATCTCAACCAATGTCAAGGTATAACCGTTATCCCCAGTGACCTAGGAAAACACACATAGGAGGAGTATAGCTCAGGCTGGCCTGGTCATAAGCTAAGACTCTACCTTGAGCATAACCAATGAGCAAAGAGGCCTGAAACTCGATTTGCATGATAGAATGCCAGTCTAGCAAGTGGAGCCTTGAGTTCAATCCCCACCACTACCCTCCCCCATATTTCCTCCTAACCAGTTTCCCTTCCCAGTCCAGACTCTCCCTGCCCACTGCCCCTCCTCCTCCACCCAGGGGTCCCTCTCCTTCTCAGGGAGCAAGTCAATTACAGACAGGCATGTCTGGGTGTGGTACTTCCATTTAGAAAAGACTGAATGTCAACGACAGCATCTCAGGACCCAAAAGAGCATCCGTTGTCTGTCTTGTGGGATTCAGGGCCTGGGAGGTCTTGGGAGATGTGTCTTGGGAGATGCTAAATGGGAAGTCAGCAGTAATTCCTGAGATGAGCATTTAGATGAACAGATACGTTTTCTGTTTAAATCTGAGAGATTTAGATAATGGACCACAATTCTTACAATTCCACCTTCTCTTCTCATTACAAAAGTTAGTGGCAGAATTACCCGCGTAGGAGGGGCAGCCGACATCTGGGGACAAGTCTTTAATGTCTGAAGGCCCACACGCAGATCCTGTTACTTGGGAAGAGGTTCCCTCTGCAGCCATCCTTGAGAGCAAGGGGCCAACAGAGGGGCCCTGGAGATTAGGAACTACAAGCTTTAGAGCAAGTTGGCTCATCTACAAAGTGGGTCCAACAAGAGCACCTCCTCCCAGGGCTAACAGCAGGATGAAAGGAATCGATGTGGGGACAGAGCCTGACCTACAACGCGCACCATTAACCATTAGAATCAGAAACGCTCTGCTGTACAAATATGACCTCTCGTTTTCTTCCCTGTTCTGTTCCACTGATGCCGTTCGCAGTTCAAACAGCCTCCACTCGCTTGTTAGATTTCAGAGAACCTCTTGCTGCCCTTCAAAATGGATATTATCTATACATAACATGCTCCATTATGCTCTACAGAATAATACCCCCTCTTTCCCCATGCATTAATTCTATTCTAAAATAGAGATCGATCACTATGCTCCTCTATATCACCATAAATTTACACATTGTTGGGAAGATTATAAAAGAACAATTAACTATGTACTGCATCATGGGGTGGAATGATTCTTAGTCACAGCTGATTAGATGTTTGGCTGCATTAATTCAGTTTTTGATGAAACAAAATACAGTGCAAGAGCATTTCAGGTGTGCCAGTGTGACATTTCACAGCCAGGTGCATTCTGCAGATCACCCTAGGAATCGCAGGGGGACGTTACCTTGACGAAGTCTGACCCCCTCTCTGCAACATCCGATGGGAGGCTGTTAAGGGCAAACTGATCTCTTGTACTATAGTGGTGGGCTGGGAATCCTAGACAAAAGCAGATATGATTGCTACTTTTAGTACATGAAAGTATAAAATGAGTACATAATTTTAATTTTACTATGAAATTTAATGTCCCCTGCTCACATATTATACCAGCCAATAGTAAACCCAGTATGTTTCAACCCATGATAAAACCTTGCATATTTCCCTTCTTTATTCCATTCACCTCCATTTGTACTCTCAGAGAGAACATTATTGTTTATTTTATTGGGATGAAAGAATCCTTCTTCCATGAATTTGTTTCTTAGATTCTGTAGCAATGGAACAAGTGTAGCCCTATTACATGCTTGGCGTTTGGAATTTATGCCAGCAGATGCAAAACAAAAAAGTCATACTTTTTAATTTTCCAGAATTGATAGTGTTAAGAAAGGCAAGATCATGGCTGGGAACTGGTGGCTCATGTCTGAATCTTAGCTTCTCAGAAGGCTGAGACCCAAAGATTATGGTTCAAAGCCAGCCCAAGCAGACAAACAGAAGAGACTCTTAGCTCCAATTAACCAGCAAAATCCAGAATTGGAGGTATGGTTCAGATAGTAGAGGGCTAGCCATGAGGAAAAAAAACAAGTGAGATCTCAAGGTCCTGAGTTTGAGCCTCAGTACTGGCATGAGAGAGAGAGAGAGAGAATACAAGAGAAAACAATAAAAACACATACACTTTTGCATCTAATCTTGGTGCAGCCACCATCATTGGAGAGGCAAAGCGAGACTCCAACATGGATGTTAACACTGTTTTAGAGTACCAAGGATACTTTGCGATGCTTTGTGCCCAGCCTTGGTGGTGTGGACGCTGCAAGGCACTGGGTGCGTGCACAATCCTCTGTACCAGCTTCTGCCCCCCAGTGCTGGGTCCCTCAGTTCCAAGCGCACTAAAGATGCGTGCATCTACAGAACTGCTCTTCTTAAATGCCTTCATGCAGTAAGCCAGCCCAGCATCACCCCCTCAGCCCAGAGTAGTTCTCTCGAGGAAAAATCACTCTTAAATGTAAGCCAGGGGCATTTCAAAGGCTGCCTGGGGCTGAAGGGAGATGGGAGACCACATTAGCCACATCCCTCAGCACAGACACTCCTGAGATCTCTCCCAAGGACCGCTGTCAGAACGAGAGGCAAACACAACCCAGCCAGGGGCGTGATGTCTTCAGGCCAGGAGGGCGCTTTTGCCTCCACAGGGATAATGTTCTGGGGAGGTGACTTTTCCACACAGCGATTGGCCCCCAGCTGCAGGAACTAGTGACAAGAAAGAAGGAACTTCAGATGGTGGCTCTCTAGAGCCCTACATAGGAATGGCTTGTTTTATTTAATTAGATCAGTTTTAGGAGCAAATGACATGCGATGGTATTTTCGTATTTGGCTGATTCACAAAGGGATTGAGATGTGGCTCACGTGAGTTCCCAGGGTCGTCACAAGCCAGCCTGAAGCCCTGCTCCGGCTCCCGTTGTCCTCGGGGCTCTAACTCTGACGTGCGGCGATCTATGACGATAACCGCATGACAGAGATGGTCATCTGGGATGATGTGCACAAATGACTTCTCGTGAAGCACAAATGGAAGACCCGAAGGTCTCATGGAGTCCTGCACAGAGTTGATGCATCACGACAAACTGACAAGACGAGGGATAAGGCAGACAGTGCCCAGCCTTGGAGGTGTAGCGTGGTGTGTGTGATAAGAACATGGGAATCCGCCCAGCCTTTGAGCCGGGTAGGTGGGGTCTGACCCAGCCTGGTCCCAACTGACCCGCAGTGGGGGACCTGCGCCCATCTCTCTCCTGAGTGTCTTTATCCTCAGTGGAAACGGTGACATCTCCCGCTGCCATGTGGTTCTTGTCCCCTCTGCACTGAGGAACCCACACATCCCTCGGGCAGGAGTGAGGTGTGTAGTTAATGAACCATTCATAGGGCCAAGTGGTCGCCACGGTGGTGGTACCAGTGGTCAGGAGAAGTCACTGGAATCTGATCCAGCAATGAAGCACAAAGCCAGCTTTTGGTACTCATGTGGCTTTGAACAAGTTACTTAGCATCCCTTAGCTCCTAGCTATGAAATGGAGATGATGGTGTCTGTCACTGGAAAATCATCAAGTGACCCAACAGGACAGTCCTTAGAACAATGTTCGGAACCTCCCATGGTGCAGTAAACACCAGCTCAACTCCAGTGAGGAGGAGGGAAAGTGTCACGTTCAGGCAAGCAGGGACAATGCATGAGCTTCCTGCAGCTGTCGGAACAGATGACCACTACAGACTGTGTTATTCCACAGCTCAAGGTCTGCAGCTCACCAACGGTCTCACTGGCTAAAATCGAGGTGGCCGAAGGATCACATTGCTTTCTAGAGGCTCCCAGGAGAATGACTCTCCCCTTGCCTGTCCTCCTTCTAGAGACCAGCCATTCCTTATTCATGACTGTACCACTCCAGCCTCTGCTTCTGCTGTCCTGCCATCTGCCTCTGCCCCTGCATTAGACTGAGCCCCCCTGGATACCTCAGGATAATCATGGCATCTGGGTCACGGCCCAGCACGCTGTCACACAAGGTCACGTATTCACAGCTGCTGACACTAGGGTGTGGACATATCTTGGCATGTCATTATCTTACCCACTACAGAGAACTTGAGGTGACTCTGGTAGATGGATTAGATGAAATGTACAGCCCTCCAGTAATATACATGAAATGCATATACATACAACATACACACAGAGGGAGAACGTGAAGTCTCTAAATATATACATGGTATATGGTTATTATATTGTTTTATAACAACAATTATATATTGTTATAAAACTATATATACACACATAATGAACAGGAACTCTATAATCTACAGATATGATGAAATATATGTATATATATATACACACACACACATAATGAACATGAAGTCTATATAACAACACACACACATATGTGAAGCAGTATGTACAGTGTCCCAACTGTAAGAAGGAAGGAAGAGATGGATCACATGACTGGAACGTTTAAACTATGTGTGCCAAACACACAAATACAGGAAAGCAGTCACTGCACCCAAAAATGTCCCTGGCAGTGTGCTCAGGCTCTGAACAGCTCAGGATAGGCACCAAAGGGACTGTGGGCCAAGTCGACAGCCCAGCCTCGTGTTCACCTTGTGTGGCTCTGCTTAACCACGTCCCTCCTTACTTCAGATTTCTCCATCTGAGAAATTCAAGCACAGAACTGGCACCCTTATGCCTGACCCCATTCCTGTTTGCTGGGGGAAGCACTCCATCCCCTGCTGATAGGCCATGGTTCCCAACAGCCCACACCTTCCTTCTTCCCGGAGAATGATTCTCCATGCTGGACCACAGCCAATGCGACCCCATGAATAGAAAAGGCTGGGACACCGCCACTATTCGTGCCCCAAACATAAACCAAAGGCAGACATCACTGTGGACAATATCCTGGCTCAGGGAGCCGCCCTTGCTCACCAGCGGACTGATATCCACACACACACATCCTCTGTTCTCAGAAAAGAGGCAGATCTCCAGCGGAGAGGAGATGAGGTAGCATCTGACCTCCTGGAGCTCTCTTACCTGGGCAGGGGGAGTAGGCGGGGGAGGGGGGATCCAGCCACAGCCAGAGCAGGGGCACCGGCATCACGGGTTAGCTTGTAAGAAATTCACATCCTTGTGTCCCAGCAAGGGTCCCCAATGGCGTCCTGAGTGGGAACCCAGGACGGCACGCAGGTGCCTGTGCTTTGCCAAGTCTCCACGGTAGCTCAGGTCCAGATGATCTGTGGGCCCTAGACCAGCACACCACTTGTAGAGGTGAGACTGTCACCCTAGAAGGGAACCACGACGCTTCAACTCAAAAACGACCTATGAGGTTTAAGAAACCACACCTAGCCCGTGGGCACGGAGATCTGAACTGGGTTTCAATTGGAACAACAACTGTTAGGAATGTCAGTGTGCTGGCCTCTTTCTTTTTGCCAGTCCTAGAGCTTGAACTCAGGGCCCGCGCACTGTCCTTGAGCTTCTTTTGTTCAAGGCTAGCACTCTGCCACTTGAGCCACAGCTCCACTACTGGCTTTTTCTCTGTATATGGTACTGAGGAATTGACCCCAGAGCTTCATGCATGCTAGACAGGCACTCTACCACTGAGCCACCTCCCCAGCCCATGGCTTTGATTTTGAAGCTGGTCACCACTGCCACCGTTGGTTTCCAAGTTACTTGAGGGTGGCGGTGCCCTGTGTTCTGGTCCTCTGTGCAGGGGTGCACTTCCGCTCACTCATCTATGACAAGAACTTTGCTCTGCTCAGTTGGCTGGGAAGATTGTGCTTTCACTTGGGATCAGCTTGATCCACACACGCAGAGCCGCTTGTATCCCCTTTGTACATCCCTCGAGAAGAGGCCGCACGGGCTGTGTCAACTAGGCACAGGTGCTGGGGGCAGGAGGCCCTGCACTGAGCGAGATCTCTCCCAGCGATTCCCCTCCCGCAAGATGACGTCACACCTTTGCTGTCCTGGGTCTCAGAAAGCCAGAGGGCCCTTCCAGCCAAGATGACCTTCTCGCAATAGTTTAGGGGAAGGGTACGGATGTTGGAAACAGGTGTTCCGAGGACTTGGACAAAGATGAAGGCAGCAGAGCCCAAGCAGAGGTCAAAGGAAAGGGGAGGAATGGCTCAAAGTAAAATACACGAGCAAGAAAATCCCATGTATTTGGAGAAGAGCCAGTAGTATGTTGGTGAAGTACAGAATACAGTTCCAGAAGTGTACGTAACTCCTGTATATTGTCCAACACTGCTTAAATTGTTTCTACGGAAAGAGCAGACAAGCACCATCATGTCCGGGCTAATGAACCAATCCATCACGCTACCACGCCATCGGTTAAGCCTGGGACTGTCGGCACATCAGATGAGCTTCAGTGATTTCACATCTACCTGCTTCACGGCAGAGGCGGGGCGGGGGGGCAACCGCGTCTCCTCCTAATGGATCTTAAATGACACCCCTCCTTTCTTATCTAACAGGAGTCAAGGTTGAC